CCTTTAGAATGGACGAGGCTCAGGCCCGGTACAAGAGGGCCGGCTGTACTGCCTAAGCAGCCCTGATTACAACCTTTTTCAGCTGGCATTCTAACAACCAATGGAGGAAATTGGGCCCCTGCACAGCATCCTTGTTTGCATCTCCCTGCCTCTCTCCATCAGTACTGGGTCACATTAGCTGAGTGAGGGAGAGCAACTGAGGGAGAAGAGAAACATTGGAACATTAGTCAGTACCAGTGTGCAAAGGTGTGTTTGCTTTGGGCATCACCTTTAATGTTTGGTGTCCTACATGCCTGGATGTTGCTGCATTATGTAAAACTATTAGTTTAGTCTTTTACACTTTAGAATGGGGTACTTCAAGATTGTGCAGAATTTTCAAGGGTGCCCTTACTGAAAAAATTGGATTGCCTCTCACCACCCTGTTCTGATAAAAAAGTAGTTTATGCAGTACTTTTTTTCAGCGCAATGTGCCTGCACACCACCGCAGCATTTTGTACAAAAAAAGAGAAGAGTTAAATTGTGTTTGTATGCACTAAAATTCATGATAGTGTATTTTTTCCTGAAAATATAGAATTAATAAACAGTCACGCAAACATTGTGCAACATAAAAAAAAAATCGCAATTACCATCTTTTTCTTCTACTGGGCCTCGGCATTAAGAAAGTATGACAGAACGCGTGTCACCCCAATTGGACGACTCTGTCAGAGAACTTCTTCCTAGCCACTGAGACACAGAACCAAGGTATTATAGCCAGACATTGCACCCAAGACTAGACAAGACTGGCTTGGATGTCAAAAACTGGAAATACTTTATTGAACAGAAATACCGTTTTTATACACTCCAGAAATAGAGGCAATGCCGGCAAATATTATACAATATGATAAACATCCCACACGGATTAGAAAATGAGGTGAAGCTGACATCAGTCTAATGATATCATTTAGGCACCTCCAGAAGGATTTGGCAACAGACAAAGAATAGGCGACTCATTTAACAATAGGAATGCACAACTATTAGGCACACAATGGGATAAGATAGTAAACACATAATATCTTAACCACTTTAACTTCACCCTATAGCAGGATTGCTGCTACAGGGCGGACTCTCTGCGCAAAATCACATATATATACAGTATATATATATATATATGTGTGTGTGTGTGATTCGTGATCCCGCCGTTATTGCGCGCCAACTGCCCCAGCACTGAAGTGATTCGGTGCCCGACTGATCATCAGATTCAAGCCAGTGAATCTGCTGGTTAATCCCTGCCCTATCACAGATCTTCCTGTACCTCTGTTAAATTTACACAGGTACAGGAAATTATGCAATCTTCTCTCCCTGGGCACATTCCGTTCCAGAGATAGAAGAAAGCAGATCCACCTTGGTGAATAAAAGCACTACACAATTACAGTAAAAGCACCGATAGGTCACATTTAACCCCCTGATTGCCACCAGTTAACCCTTTCACTGCCCTGTCACCAGTGTCATTAGCACAGTTTACAAATTATTTTACTGATCACTGTATTAGTGTCACCAGCGACTTCAGATAGCGTTAGCGTCAGTTAGCATCCCTCCCAGATAGCATCAGATTGCCTGCCACTACATCAAGTCATCACCCTTTGATTGCCAGAAACACGCTCACATACACACTAAACCTCCATTGCTAGTATAGTGTCTGAACAGATCAATATCTTTGATCAGATCAAAACTATACCAGTGTTCACAAAAGTATAGTGTCCCCAAAAATGCAGCGTTAGCAGGATCAGCCCTGCCAGCTGCCAGTATCTGCGTTTAGCCCCTACACTTACCCCCCCCCCCCCCCCCCTCCCCCAGCAAGTGCAGTATCAGTAGATCATTGTCACTTTATACATTGCACACAAAACCGCAGTGTTCGCAGAATCAGGCCTGATCTCTGTTTTCACTTGCAGGAAAATTGTTTTGTAGCGGCTCAAGCAGTACCTGACAGCCAGGTGCTCTTTTTCCTGTGAGTCGCACTAGGTATCTATAAATTGAGTGGCCAAAATGTCCAACGAAAGGTACTTTAGTGAAGAGGCCTACAGGATTCTGACCATGTCAGATGAGAGCGAAGGGGACACCTCACTGACAGAATCTGCTTCAAAATACAAACCTGTAGACAGCAGCGGCATCTTGACAGATAGCTCAGATGATGGAGTAGAGGTCCCTGCTAAGGTCAGGCGTACCCTACCCTGTTCCCAGGTTGCTTATGTGATACAAGTGCATGATAATTCTCATATGCAGCAGAGTGTCAGTACTAGTACCACTCTACCTTTTGGTGAACTGGCGAGCACCAGCGGCCTAGTACATCCTGGTCTTTTACATAACAGCACTGCAGCATCACTTGGTGGCATGGCAAATCCCATAAATGCAGTACAAGCTGGTGCGTTGGCGAGCACAAGTAGTGTCCCACAGCCACCAAGAACTCATACACAGGCTCGTAGAGCCCATAGTATCCTGCTGCATGTGCTTGCAAATCCTGATTGGCAGCCCCCAAATTCTGCAGCTACTGTACTTCCCCCATTCACTCTCCAACTTGGAATTCAGGTGGAAACAGCAAATTTAAATATTCCCCCTGATTTTTGGAGCTGTTTTTCACAGAAGATCTGTATGGATTGATTGTGGACCAAAGCAATTTATATGCACAGCAATTTATTGCCACCAACCCAAATCCAAACCTTGCCTGACCGTTTGAATGGGAACCTATTGTGGTATCCGAATTCAAAGTTTTAATGGGTCCAACCATCAACATGGCCATTACTAAAAAAAATAATTGCGGTTGTATTGGTCCACAGACCAGATTCTTCATATGCCCGTGTTCTCTGCTGCCATGGCCAGGCACAGATATGAGAATATAATGCGATTTATGCATTTCAACAACAATACACTGTCATCCTCGGGGTGACCCTGAGTTTGACCGGCTCCACAAAATTTGGCCCCTCATAAATCACCGTAACCACAAATTTGCAGATGTCTATACTCCCCAGCAAAACATCTGTATTGATGAGTCCCTCATTTGTTTTTCTGGCCGCCTTGCATTCAAACAATTTCTCCCCTGCAAGCGTGCCAGATATGGGGTCAAGATGTATAAGACCTGTGAGAGGGCTACAGGCTATACATGTAATTTTCAGATTTACGAGGGAAAAGATAGTCACGTGGAGCCCCCCGGATGCCCAAACTACATGGGGAGCAGTGGCAAGAAAGTTTGGGACTTGGTGCCATCGTTTTTCCATATGGGGTACAACTAATACGCAGACAATTTTTATTCCAGCGTGCCACTATTTAGACATTTATACAATCTTGGAATTGGTGCTTGTGGCACCGTGCGACCTAATCGCCGGGGCTTCCCACAATGGCTTGTAAATACCCATCTTAGAAAGGGGGAAAAAGCCTGCTTGAAAAAATTATGAATTGCTCACAGTGAAGTGGAAGGACAAATGGGATGTTTTTGTTCTGTCTTCCATTCACGCAGACATGACCATCCAAATTTACACAGCAGCTGGTGTTATTGAAAAGCCCCTCTGTGTCCATGACTATAACCTTAACATGAGAGGGGTGGACTTCAATGACTAGATGATGAAGCCATACTTAGTTTCCTGAAAAAGCCAGATTCTGATACAAAAAAGTGTCTGTTTATTTATTTAAATTGGCTCTATAAAAACGCTTTTGTGCTTTACAAAGCAACTGGACGTAGTGGATCCTTCCTAAAATTCCAGGAAGAGATCATCACGGACCTTTTGTATCCAGAAGGTGCTGTGGCCCAAGCCCCCAACCCAGATGCAGTTAGCTGGCTGCATGAGAGGCATTTTCCCAATGCCATTCCTGGTACTCCAACCCAAAAGTAACCCCAAAAAAGATGTTGTGTCTTTAGCTGACACGGAATTAGGCATGACACCTGCTTTTTTTGTCCCTTCTGTCCTGGCTAATCTGGTCTCTGCCTAAAAGAATGCTTCCATCGCTACCATACACTAGTGGACTATTAGTATAGGGTACAGCATGGCACAGTCTAGGGTACACATTTACACAGGGTCTTGAAAGATGTTAGGTAGTCAGGAAACTGACTGAAATGTTGAGAGACCCTAGCATCTGGAAATTAAAAAAAGTAAAAAAAAAAAAGAATAAATAAAAAGTAAAAAAAATAAAAAAAAACAAAAATAGTTTTATTGTTGTTGAGTTACTATTTTACTGTTGTGGTTTTACTGTTACTATTTTATTGTTAACCATTTCTGTTTTCTTTGCAGGAATGCCATTCAGCTGCAGCACGGATCTGTTTATTCTGACAGCAACAGGGGGGGCCTTGCTCTCTTAATATGCGTATGTGTGTGCAGCGTTGTTGGATGAGATTTTTCATCTGCAGAAAAAAAAGCAGATATATGCCCAAGAATGAGGGCCTGGGGTGGCCAGTGGGTGTATGACCCTTATGCTTTGGCATATATATTTTATAATATTTTTTGGCACATATTTCAATTAAAAAGTTGGTTTATTGAGTTACTGTTTTATTGTTAACTGTTGCTGTTTTATTTGCAGAAATGCCATTGAACTGCAGCACCGATCTGTTTATTCTTACAGCAATATGGTATTGCTCTCAGAATATACGTCAGTGCTTGCAGCGCTGTTGGATGAGATTTTTCATCCGCTGTTAAAAAAAGAGCATATATGCCTAAGCATTGGGTCTAGGGTGGACAGTGGGTGCATGGCCCTTATGCTTCGGCATATATTTTTGAAAACATTTTTGGCAGAGATTTCTTCATCCACATCGATTATGCTGAATGACAAAAAAAGAACATTTAATACGTGCCCACCATTATAAGTGGGTGGATGCAGGGCTGTATATTCTAATGGTGGACATACCACACACTTTTTCCTGCAAAGATTTCTTCTCTTTTTTTCTTTCAGCCCACAGGCTGCATAAAAATAACATAGCATATATACCCAACAAGGACCCGCAACGTACTGGTCCATCACTGGACTTTCAGTGGTTATACCAGGATGATGCCTGCAGCTGCACCTTTTAGAGGTAAGAGGATGCTATTTTCTACTTGCAGGGTTTCCATGCTTATTGTTTCTGTTTTAATGTATTCTTCTAATTTACTGTTTTCCAATATACTATTTCTAAAAACCCAATAACATTATTCAAAGGATAATTAAACATGGCAAAACTCACCTGATAGTATTTACCATTGTAAAAACATCCACATTCACTGACAGGAACACAAACGTGTCCACTGAGCACAAAGCCATTATCACATTCACAAGCATCAGTACAAGGCTTATTGCAGTCACTCGGAGCACTCTGGTCCAAGCATGTGGCTGGACAAGCACTGGTACAAGGATTGTAGTGACTGTTGGCAGGACATGGGATGGCTAAACAACAAGCACAGATAACAGTTAATAAACATGGTAAAGGAAACAGTATATCTAATCAAAGGGCATGACTATAGCCATAGAAGGCCAGATGTAAATGCAAGCAATAAAAATTGGCAAATAATTTGGTAAGGTGCACTGGCATGGCATTCAGAATGAAAAGCACCACATCTATATCATATTTGCTAAAAGCATTTGAAATAACACATAAACCTATAAATTATTTTTCTTTACAAACAATATTTTATTTTGCTTTGCCTACTACCATTGAACCTGTTTTCAATAGTGTATATCTAACCAAAATATTTTTTTTATAGTTTTGGATAAAGTGAGGAAATGTACTATCACTTTCTGTCCTGCTGACAACAATTTCACCAGTTAGTGTGAAACATTGGCAGCAGGGACAAAATCAGAAAAAAAAATCTGGAGACCTGCCAGCTTTCCCTCACCTTACTAAAAAAAATCAATTTAATGTATTTTTTGTTCATTTTGGAGAGTTCACCCACTTTCTGTCTTGTAAACTATTGTCAGTGAAGCTAAAACTCTCTAATGATAGCAGTAAAAATCTCACAGATGTTTCTAACCCTATACTCTATCCAAAACCATGAAAAAAATGTTGATGGACAAACACTTTATGTAAATACTGACCTTCAATAAATGAAAATATAAAATGGTTGATGATGTACATGAACTGCCAAAGTATACATTATAAATGCTTAGCATTAAACATCCATGCTGCTCTCCTATAGGATTAACATATGAGATTACATCTGTATGTTTATACAAGAAACAAAGAATTCTTTACCCAATAAAGTACTTACAACAATAACATTACTTACGACAGAATGTGGAGTTTCTCCAAGCAAGGGTGACTCCTGCTCTTTGACAGGTATCAGCATAAGCTTCCAATGCTTTACATAAACTGCCAGCACCAAGTGCACATAGATCAAATATACAACTGTCAAAGAAGTGCTGTGGGCTGATTACTGGGTGACAAGCCTTGAAAGGACCATCTTTGCTGGTTAACAAACCACAGAACTGATTGTTTGAATAGAGTTCCTCTGTCTCTGGTGGACATGGTGGTGGAGGTGTAGGAACAATTGTATTACATAATGGATCCTCATATTCCACCATCCAGCTGTCTCCCAGCTGATTTGAGTTCTGAGCCAGCTGTTTATTGGGCATCATAAAGTCATCATGTTGGATGCCATTAAAGTTGCCACACATTCCGCAGGTTTGATTAAAATATGTAGTTGCGATCTTCACATCCACTGTATGGTCAGTGTCATAAGAGACTATGAGATGGAATTCAGTCTCCAGAATAACATATCGACCACTTTGCTTCACTGTCAGAGACTCATTGGCCAAAATAACTGGAAGATTTGTCCAGATACCATCCACCTGATAACCAATGACACACCTGCATGTTAGATTTAACCGTGAAAATGCCATTTTAACATCATGAAAGAGATTTCATAAATGTTCAAAGAAACTTACCAAAACTCGACTAGGCTCATTTTTAACAATGGTTATTTTGTGATCATAGACATCCACCATAACTTTCTGAATATATGATACAGTTGGATTCCCATAACGATGTTCATTCTTTGCCTCAATATTAAAATATGGCAGAGACGTGGCATTGGTACAAAGCTTGGAGAGAGTATATGTGCATATTCCCATGAAGTGATGAACTTCTTTATCAAAGGTGTGGTAATGAGGATCCCCCCAAGTTACACAGTTACCAAATGTGAGATCAAAGCAGTCAAGAACCCCATTTGTTACACCACAGTATTTGCCAGGTGCACATGAAGCAGAATTGCACACTAAACTACCACCAGCAGAGGGACATCTGCATTTAGTGGAACAGGTATCATCAGTCCAGAACTCCGAGCCTACAGGGTAATGTTTACTGTCTTCCCAACATCCACACTGACTACTTGGTACACACTTCTTGTCATAGAGAACATATCCCGAGTCACATACACAGCCTTCTGTGCAGGGAAGATTGCAGTTGGATGGTGATCCTGGATTGACACATGTAGCTGGGCAAGCTGTTCCACATTGCTCATAATGACTATTTAAAGGGCAATTCAGTGCTGTAAAACATAAACTATTTGTAAAACCAATACTAAACTGTCAGCAGAGTAATACATATGTGATCAGTACTACAGGGACAGATATGAAAGCTAAAAACCATATGTAAAAATATGTTACATTAATAACAGCAGTAGAGGAACATTTTGTCATCAATTTCAGTAACAATTTGCAATCCAATAATGTAATCTTAAATTGCCACTAGGTATGTGCAGAACAAAAAAAGTGTTTAATTTTGTTTTGATTCATTATTTACATAATTTTGTTTAGTTAAAATTCTTTAATTCATTTTTGAAATATGTTTCATTTTCTAATTTCGATTCTATTCGAATTTTAATCAATTTGAATTAAATTCAATTCAAATTCAATTCGTTCAAATTTGAATTGGCATTCTAATTCCAATTCATTCTATTTGAAATTCTAATTTTGGAAGATAGTTATATTCTATTTTATTCTATTCTATTGTTTTTTTTCTATTCTAATCTCTTATTTTCTATTCTGTTCTTTTCTATTCTATTATTTTCTAATCTATTCAAATTCAAATTTATTTTATTCAAAATTCGAATTTCGTAAGACAGTTATATTCTTTCTCTGTTATTCTATTCTACTGTTTTTTTATGTTCTTTTATTTTCTATTCTATTCTCTTATTTTCTTTTCTTTTCAATTCTATTCTTCTCTGTTCTATTCTTTTCTAAATATTAAATTCAAATTTATTCTATTCGAAATTTGAATTTCAAAAGACGATTGTATTATCTTGTTTTTTCTCTTCTATTCAAAATCAAATGTATTCAAAATTCGAATTTCAAAAAACGGTTATATTTATTGTTTTTTCTATTCTATTCAGAATCAAATGTATTCGAAATTTGAATTTCAATAGACAGTTATATTCTATTGTTTTTTTTCTATATTATTCAAATTTATTCTATTCAAAATTCTAATTTCGAAGACAGTTATATTGTATTTTATTCTACTCTACTGTTTTTTCTAATCTCTTATTTTCTATTCTATTCTCTTATTTTTTTATTCTTATATATTCTATTCTTTTCTAATTTATTCTAATTCAAACATATTCTACTCAAAATTCAAATTTCGAAAGATGGTTAAATACTATTGTTTTTTCTATTCAGTTCAGATTCGAATTTCAGAAGACAGTTATATTCTTTCAATTGTATTATATTCTATTTTTTTTTCTATTCTATTCTATTTTTTATTCTATTATTTTCTATTTTAATTCATTATATTCAAAATTTGAATTTCGGAAGACAGTTATATTCTCTTTTTATTCTATTCTATTGTTTTTTTTTCTATTCTATTCTATTCATTTTATTCTATTCATCTCTATTCTATTCATCTCTATTCTGTTATATTTTTTCTGTTCTATTCTTTTCTATTAAATTAGAATTCAAATTTATTCTATTAGAAATTTGTATTTCAGAAGGCAGTTATTTTCTGTTTTATTCTATTGTTTTTTCTGTTCTATTCATTTATATTCTATTCTTTTCTATTCTTTTTATTCTATTCTATTCTTGTCTACTCTATTATTTTCCTGTATACTCTATTCTTTTCTATTCTAATCTATTCTATTCTTGTATGTTCTCTTATTTTCTTTTCTATTCTAATCTATTCTATTCAAATTCGAATTTACTCAGTTCAAAATCTGAATTTTGGAAGACAGTTATATTCTATTTGATTCTATTTTATTGTTTTTTCTGTTTTATTCTTTTTCTATTCTATTCTTTTATATTGTATTCTATTCTATTATGCTCTATTCTTTTATTGTCTATTCTATTATTTTCTATTCAAATCTATTATATGGTGTTATTTTATGTTCTATTCTTTTGGCATTTGAATTCAATTCGAATTCAATTTTGAATTTGATTCAAATTTCATCCAAATTTAATTTCAGTATTTTGGATTTATTACTAATGTACTTTGGAAATTCAAAGACATCTGAATGACCAAATAGCGAAAAAAAATTAGTCTGAATTTGAATTCAGAATGAAACGAACCATACATGTCTAACTGCCACCAATATCTATCAGCTACACAATGCAATTCAGGATCTAGATTAGTAAGATCTTTGCAACAGTTTACTGTGTATTTGTGACCCCTTCACCTGAAATCCTGGGTGACAAACTGCAACAGATTTTCAAAGTTATGAAATGGATTTATCACTGATTTTAATCTATAAGATGCTTAGTTACGAAGTGGTCAGGGCCAGGTTTCATTCTGTGGAAGTGCAACTTTAGAGCTGCAAATGGAAGAATGTATGAATCATGCTGTAATCTCATAGTAAATCTGTCACAAACCTGTCTTACTGCTCCATTATAGCATGTGAGGCAGAACTAACAAATGTTCCCTTGGTATTTTCCAACTCCACTACAATATTATAGCAACTCCAGGATACCAGAACCCAAACACATCTACAGTGGTGAGCTACAAAAGCACAATTAAAAGTGGACGTACACAGATTGCTTTCACAGTAACCATAGGCCTGCAGCTAAAAGAAGCCTGAATTTGTTAGAAGGTACAGTCAGGTCCATAAGTATTGGGACATCGACACAATTCTAACATTTTTGGCTCTATACACCACCACAATGGATTTGAAATGAAACGAACAAGATGTGCTTTAACTGCAGACTGTCAGCTTTAATTTGAGGGTATTTACATCCAAATCAGGTGAACGGTGTAGGAATGACAACAGTTTGCATATGTGCCTCCCACTTGTTGAGGGACCAAAAGTAATGGGACAGAATAATAATCATAAATCAAACTTTCACTTTTTAATACCTGGTTGCAAATCCTTTGCAGTCAATTACAGCCTGAAGTCTGGAACGCATAGACATCACCAGAGCGCTGGGTTTCATCCCTGGTGATGCTCTGCCAGGCCTCTACTGCAACTGTCTTCAGTTCCTGCTTGTTCTTGAGGCATTTTCCCTTCAGTTTTGTCTTCAGCAAGTGAAATGCATGCTCAATCGGATTCAGGTCAGGTGATTGACTTGGCCATTGCATAACATTCCACTTCTTTCCCTTCAAAAACTCTTTAGTTGCTTTTGCAGTCTGCTTTGGGTCATTGTCCATCTGCACTGTGAAGCGGCGTCCAATGAGTTGTGAAGCATTTGGCTGAATATGAGCAGATAATATTGACGAAACACTTCAGAATTCATCCTGCTGCTTTTGTCAGCAGTCACATCATCAATAAATACAAGAGAACCAGTTCCATTGGCAGCCATACATGCCCACGCCATGACACTACCACCACCATGCTTCACTGATGAGGTGGTATGCTTAGGATCATGAGAAGTTCCTTTCCTTCTCCATATTCTTCTCTTCCCATCACTCTGGTACAAGTTGATCTCGGTCTCATCTGTCCATAGGATGTTGTTCCAGAACTGTGAAGGCTTTTTTACATGTCGTTTGGCAAACTCTAATCTGGCCTTCCTGTTTTTGAGGCTCACCAATGGTTTCCATCTTGTGGTGAACCCTCTGTATTCACTCTGGTGAAGTCTTCTCTTGATTGTTGACTTTGACACACATACACCTACCTCCTGGAGAGTGTTCTTGATCTGGCCAACTGTTGTGAAGGGAGTTTTCTTCACCAGGGAAAGAATTCTTCGGTCTTCCACCACAGTTGTTTTCCGTGGTCTTTCGGGTCTTTTGGTGTTGCTGAGCTCACCGGTGCGTTCCTTCTTTTTAAGAATGTTCCAAACGGTTGTTTTGGCCACGCCTAATGTTTTTGCTATCTCTCTGATGGATTTGTTTTGTTTTTTTTTTCAGCCTAACGATGGCTTGCTTCACTGATAGTGACAGCTCTTTGGATCTCATCTTGAGAGTTGACAGCAACAGATTCCAAATGCAAATAGCACACTTGAAATGAACTCTGGACCTTTTATCTGCTCATTGTAATTGGGATAATGAGGGAATAACACACACCTGGCCAAGGAACAGCTGAGAAGCCAATTGTCCCATTACTTTTGGTCCCTTAACAAGTGGGAGGCACATATCCAAACCGTTGTAATTCCTACACCGTTCTCCTGATTTGGGTGTAAATACCCTCAAATTAAAGCTGACAGTCTGCAGTTAAAGCACATCTTGTTTGTTTCATTTCAAATCCATTGTGGTGGTGTATAGAGCCAAAATAGTTAGAATTGTGTCGATGTCCCAATATTTATGGACCTGACTGTAGCTATTTAACAGCTTCACCTATTGAACAAGGAGATTGAAAGGTAAGTATATCCATAGGAGCAGGTAAACTCAAAACTTGGAATATCCCCTAAGTCTCATTTCCCTTCTACACAAAAGTGTAATTCCTCTGTCAGTCTCTAAACATTTCTGGTGTACAGATCACCTGCCATGCAATGAGTGGAGTATATAGCATTCTTTGTTAAGATTTTTTATCTTAGCGTTCACATAAACCCTCTCCTCTTCATCCCACCTTGGTCAGTTGGATTATGCATTTGAGCAAATTAGGGATTCCAAAGTCAATCAAGATCGCTTCTGTATTTGATAGGGTTACAGGCCTAAAGAAAAGTATTAACTTTTAAGAAAAAGTTAAATGTTCCCAGGCTGATCAATAATTTTTCCCTAATATGGAGAAGAGGATTTAGGTAACCAAATGAGGTTAAGCAAAATAACCAATTGCTTTCAATATCATGCCCCTTTAGCCAGCTACATTGCAAATTCATTTCTCCTCAGACTGGGCACATTGTTCTTGGATACATGTCTATGTCACCTGTTGGCATGAATACAGTCACCTGTTGGCATGAATCCAGTTTAGGACTGCATATGTGCTTTTGAAATCACTTTTGAAATCACTGAGTAGCAAATAAAAATTGTATAAATTGTA